TGTGTCAGTGTGTTACCCTGGCCGCTCTGTGCAGGAAGGGTTGGTGTGTCAGTGTGTTACCCTGGCCGCTCTGTGCTGGGTGCGTCTCCAGGCTCTGCAGGTAGCTGTGGCAGCGCTCCCTGTGCTCTTCCAGTGTGCTCTGCTGCTTGTAGCTCCGACCACAGTAACTGCACTTAAAGGGCTTCCCCACTGTGGGAGAGGACACTGGAGAGAGAGGGAGGGACAAAGGGGGATGGAGTGTGAGAAGATGGTGGGGTAGAGTTGACTGAACAGCAGACATGCCCTCTTCCCTGTCTGGGAGAAGTCTGATACCCTTAACTCAGCCCAAGGTTGCACAAACTATTCTTAAAAGAATAACAGCCTGAGACTCGACAGCACCACAAGATTCCAGTCCTTTACAAGTCTGGCAGCTCAGGTGGGAGGTGTCCACTGGGTGCTCCAGGGGACACGTGTTGGACACCAGAGGTCTGAGCTTCTTGTTCGTGCTGCACTGAGCCAAGGGGTGAGACTAGACCTCTCTTCCAAGAAGGAAAGACAAACGCCTGAATCAAAAAAATCCCCAAAACATGAATCCTGATCTCTGGGAGCCTGACCCTGCAGTGCAGGACCGGGACTGGACACCCCGCAGACACACTGACCCCCCCCCAGGACCAGGACTGGACACCCTGCAGACACACTGACCCCCAAGGACCAGGACTGGACACCCTGCAGACACACTGACCCCCCAGGACCAGGACTGGACACCCTGCAGACATACTGACCCCCCCAGGACCAGGACTGCCCATAATCCCAAGAGTCTGGCTCAAGAAAGGCTTGCAAAACTGAATGCGTGGCTTCCCCATTAGCAGGGATTTCCAGTTCTGCACCACACTTTTGTAAAATGATGGAATTCAAAGAAAACGGTCACCTCCGCTCACAGCGTGACACAGCGATTTCCCGAAAACTCTGCCACGTTCATTCATCTGTGACGCACGGCCATCAGCCCTGGGCCCACGCACTGCGCCCCGACATTCATCAGTACCGCGCAGTGGGGAAAAACACGCCAAAAAAGGAGAGGAAAACGCGGTGATTTCATAACCGGAAAACGCCATTTCAGAAAAACCAGATTCTTCGGAACTCCGCTGCACGGCAGAACGGCCAGCCCTCCCTCCGTAAACCAGCGCGAACGTCTCACACATGTATATTAATGTCTAATGAAGACATCTTCATGACTTCAAAACATCAACAGGATTTCCTGTTATTCTGCCTTTTTAAATGTCATTGTGTAGCGTGCGGTGTGTTCTGTACTCCATGTACTGTACTCTTGACACAGCCCCTCCTAGCCACAGACCTGTCTCTGGCTCGCTATCTTGCCTTGCTCCCATTGGCTGCAAACAGCCCTCTCTCCTCCACCACCCTCATTCTCTCCATCCCTCCCTCCCTCACTAGCCCTCTGTCCTGCCCCTCTCCTCTGATCCACCCCTCTCACCAGCGTGGGTGCGGAGGTGTCCGGTAAGCGCGTCTCTGCGGCGGCAGGCGTAGCTGCAGAAGGGGCACTTGAAAGGCTTCTCCCCGGAGTGCAGCTTGATGTGTCTCAATAGGTTCCCTTTCTGGGTGAAGGAGGCGCCACACTGGTTACACTGGAACGGCCTCTCACCTGGCAACGCGCACACACAGATACACACTGACGCACACTCTCCTACAACAGACGAGGTTACTCGCTGCTCTGCCCATCCACCTCGCCCCCACTGCGGCCACACCCCTCCACCCCCTGATCCATCCCCATCCCACGCCCTTGGCCCTCTGTCATGCCTTTCCACCCCTCTGCCCCCCTCCGCCCTGTCTTGGTGTCCCACCCTACCCCTCTGCCCCCTCCACCCTGTTTCTGTGGCCCACCCTACCCCTCTGCCCCCTCCACCGTGCCCCTCCATCCCCATAGACCCCACCCTACCCCTCTGTCCCATACGCCCTGTCTCTACGCCCCACCCTACCCCTCTGCCCCCCTCCACCGTGCCCCTCCATCCCCATACGCCCCACCCTACCCCTCTGTCCCATACGCCCTGTCTCTACGCCCCACCCTACCCCTCTGCCCCCCTCCACCGTGCCCCTCCATCCCCATACGCCCCAAGCTACCCCTTTGTCCCATGAGCACTGTCTCTACGCCCCACCCTACCCCCCTGCCCCCGCCACATACGCCCTGTCTCTGCGCCCCACCCTCCCCCCCTGCCCCATCTCTACACCCCACTCCCACCTCTCACCCGTGTGGCTGCGCTTGTGCACCATCAGGACGTTGGGGCCGATGCAGATCATCCCACAGACATCGCACTTCAGTTTGCCGTTGGGTAGTCGGATGCCCCCTGGGGAGACGGGCTCGGGGCTGGCCAGATCACAGTAGCTGCCCCCACCCCCGCCACTGCCCCCTCCACCGCCACCGCCCTCCTCCAGCCTGTCCGCCCCTGCCTCCTCCCGGTCGCCGCCCCTGTCCTCTCCAGCCCGCAGCCGCCCCACTTCCTCATCGCTGTACAGCTCCACCTTGATGGAGTTCGCTGGAGCCACGGAGAGAGAGAGAGAGGGAGAGAGAGAGAGATTTTTTAATCTTCCTGCTAATCAGGAGGCAGGCTGGCAATGCAGTGGTACTGTACAGCACTATAGGCAGGCCATTTGAGAGTGTGTGCCAGTTTGTGTCCGTGGGTGTAACAGTGTGTGTGGCAATGCCAGTGATGTCAATGTGTGAGTAAGTGTGTAGCACCATGTCAACATGTCAATGAGTGCATCAGTAACAGTGTACATCAGTCCAGGCATCAGTGTGTTGCACTATGAAAGTAACAGTGACTGCGTCGTGTCCCTGTCAGTATCTGTGCAGATATTTAGGCTATAGTAGTAGGTAACAGTGAACAGAGTATACAGTGAAAGTGACAGAGTGTTTCTTGTGCATGTCGGAGTGCAATGGTAACTGTCAGCACGTAATAGTGCTTCAGAGTCTAATATGGTGTAATGGGCCACCAGTGTGAAAAAGTCGCTGTGCAAGAGTGCATCAGAGTGTAACACCCAGTGTGGAACAGTCCTCTAGAGTATAAACGTGTGTGTTATACAGTCAATGCATAATGGTTATTATGTAATATTGTCCAACAATCTACCATTATTAAAATAGTGTGCTATAGTGCAACAGTCTAATAGTCTGTGTGTTAACAGTGTGAAATATTCAGTGAGTGAGATGAGAAGTGTGCAATTGTGTGTCAGTAACAGTGTTTAACAGTGCACCAATGTGTAATGTCGGTGTGTTCCAGTGTGTCAGTGTGTGACAATATGTCTGTATGTAATTGTCAGGGTGCTACAGTGTGACAATGTGAGACAGTGTTGGTTTAGTGTATAAAAGTCAGGGTGCTACAGCGTGACAGTGTGAGA